CGCATATAAAGTGTTATCCAGCGTACTGTGTAAACGACTGAAACCAAAGGTCAATGACATTATTGTACCATAACAAAGTGGCTTCAGACCTGGCAAATCCACCATTGACCAGATTTTCATTCTGAGCCAAATCCTGGAAAATACCCACGAAAAACACATCGACATATTCCACCTATTCGTCGACTATAAAGCCGCATTCGACAGCCCTATCCGTTCAGAGGTGTTTAAAGCCATGTCTGCGTTTTGCATTCCTGGCATAACTTTAACAGGCACAAGATCAGCAGTTAAAGTCGGAAAGGACCTCTCGGAGCCCTTTAATACCGAACGAGGATTTAGACAAGGTGACAGTTTGTCGGGGGACCATTTTAACATCCTGCTGGCAAAATTGAACAGAAATGGCACTCTGTACACCAAACAACACATGTTACTCGCCTACGCCGATCGATATAATGGGTCGAACATTGTGAGCGGTAACAGCCACCTTTAAACAAATTGAAAAGGAGTCTGCCAAAGTGGGTCTGGCAGTAAACGGCGAGAAGACCAAGCTCACACTCTACAAGACGCTGATACAACCCGTGCTGTTATACGGATCTGAAGCATGGGTACTTACGCAAGCAGATGAGGCAGCTCTTGGAGTGTTTGAGAGAAACATTCTACGAAAGATCTATGGGCCGATCTGAACCATGAGTTGTACCAGCTATTCTCAGACATCGACATTGTTAGACGTATTGAGCTGCAAGATGCCCCAGCCCAGAAGGCATGTAAAAACGAACCAGCTGATGGTTCACGCCGAAGGGGAAGGCCACGAATACGATGGAAAAATCAAGTCGAAGACAACATCGCCGAAAATGGTCTTTCAAATTGGAAAAACTGCTCAAAAGACCGACGCGCCTGAAAATCTTTTCTAAGCTCGGCTTATGGAACGAAAGTTCTGTCACAAGCCAGCTAAGTAAGTAAGTAAGTGGCCTCTAGTCGGTGGTCAAGAGGGTGTAAATATCGCGAAATATTGTCCAAGCTCAGAATATAGAACAACAGAAAGTTAGATTTTGATGGAAGTTGTGTATCATATGGTCGGCCCTGTTAAAGGAGATAGTAAAAAAAACATATTTTTAATACATTGTCTATGACCTATTTTTTTAAATATGTATGTAATGGAAATTTTCCATAATATAAGTTGCATCATACAGCTACCGAACAATAAATGTAGAATTTTTAATACTCCTCATGTTATGACATATATTTTTTTTTCACCAACAGCTTTTTAATTAAACATTTTTTTTTTTGTTAAAATTCTCTCATGTCTGGATAATGTCAGTGATCCGTTTGTTTGTATTTATTTTTTTATTTATTTTATTATTTCGAAATGAAATGACGTGGTGATCGTATTTTTCGATCGGTACTTTTGTTTCGCTTGTAACCAACCATCCAACCAACCAACCATCCAACCAATCCAGTTGAAACAACGTTTAAACATCCGATTTGGTTACGCTCATTAACTGACATTTTTCACACGTCAGTCAATCAGCCAGCCAGGCAGTGACTGATTGCTAAAAGCACAGTCTACAGATATACCTATTCTATATATAAATATAAATGCAATTGTATTGCAAAATATATTTATGGAGTCAGATTTTAAAGCGAGTCACTGATTTCAATGTTCTATTATTTTTTCAAGGTCATAACGATTTAATTGGATTTTGAATTGTTTAAAAGGCTATGAAAAGGGTAAACATGAAATTCGAAAATATTTTTGGTTTCTCCAAAATTGTCTGGCTGTAAAATATTTCCAAATCTTTGTAACCATGTGTGCTTTCTGGCAAAAACTAGTACAAATGTATACACAGTGTTAATTTTTTTATTACTACTGGCTTTCTGAAACTTGTTTTTTTTTCAAATTCATTTTCGAAAACAAAAGTTCGTCATTAGAGAAAGAAAAAATATTGTGCGTCTGTCTCAATGTGTTTAGCATATTTCGAAAGTAATTTCCATGTGTTATGTCATTGACCTTACCACCACCACTAATTTATGAATTTTAATGATGCTGTTGCGGATTAATTTTTTTTTTCATTTGATGACGACAATTTTTTGATGTGACTCATCTCAAGAATTGTTGAAAACCTTTGTTTATATTTTGAATAGAAATATCAAAGATGTGGATCAAAACAAAGCTATGAAACCAAACAATTTCTATGGGGTGTTCAAAAACAAACGTGAATTTTTCGCTTGTTGAGAGACCATCTGAAAATATTTTTAGAAATCCAAGCCTCTCTGAGAGAACCCCTAAAAATATTTTTAGAAATCCAAGCCTTAGAAATCCTCCAGAAATATTTTATAAAAATTCCCGAAGCCCAACAATATATAAAACCGAGTGAAGTTCGGCCGGGCCGAACTTTGGATACCCTCCACCATAGGTATACTGATAGTTACTTGAAATGAAAATATGGTGAACATACCAATACATATACCTACACCAACAAATATTGTTGTAAACCATAATGTATACCAAATACAAATTTAAGCAATTTTTAATGGAGAATCTGAATCGATATTATCGAAACTAAACACACCCCATTCTAGACTCAATTCCGTACTCTATGCCAAATCTGGTAGAAATAGAAAGATATATAGGAATTTTGGTGCAACATTTACATTAAATGGGACGAAAATGTATATGTGAGCTATATCAAAATCTGAACCGATTTTCAGGTTCATCATCATTCATCATTCTAGACTTAATTTCACGAAACTTAGCACACATCATTCTAGACCTAATTCAGTACCATATGCCAAATTTCGTGCAAATCGAAGGATATATAGGGATTTAGTGCACCATTTACATAAAATCGGACGAAAATATATATGGGAGCTATATCTAAATCTGAACCGATTTTCACAAATTTCAATAGAGTTCGTCCTTGGGCCAAATAAGTGACTTGTGCCAAATTTCATCCAAATGGGATCATAAATGCGACCTGTACTTTGTTTACAATTTAACATTTACAGGCGGACGGACATGCATAAATCGACTCAGAAAGTGATTCTATGCATATTCTCAAAAGGAACCATGTGTCTATCTCATAATACCCTGTACCCTGTGGTGAAGGGGGTTATATGGGGACTACTCCTAAAAGGGGGCGAATATTAATAATTTTTGGAAGTGAGTTTTGTTACCATATACGACTACAAAAAAACAAATTTACAAAGAATTTGGTTGAAAACGGGTCCAAGAACCCAAAAATACCGAAAACTGGGGGGTGCCCTTATATCGGGGCTACCCGAAAAATGGACCTATATTTATAATTTTTAGTAAAGAGATTTGCTACCCAATAAGAACTCGAAGTACTAAATTACAGTCAATTCGGTGGAAAAATACCCCCCAAAATACCGAAAATTAAGGGTACCCCCAAATTTTCGGTATTTTTTTGGGGACTACCAGAAAAAGAGTACCTATATTTATAATTTTTAGTGAAGAAATTTGCTACCCAAAACGAACTTAAAGTACCAGGGAATTCAGTTATAAAACGAGACCAAGAACCCAAAAATACCGAAAATTTTGGGGTACCTTAATATTTGGGGCTATCAGAAAAAATGGACCTATATTTCTATATTTTTATTAGGGAGAATTGCCTCCAAATAAGAACTCAAAGTACCCAATTTTAGGGAATTCGGTCGAAAAATGCGATCATAACCCCCAAAAACCGCAAAATTGGGGGTGTCCTTATATGGGGACTGCGCGAAAAAATGGACCTATATTTATAATTTTTAGTGAAGAGATTTGCTACCCAAAAAGAAATCAAAGTACCAATTTTCAGCGAATTCAGTTGAAAAACGCGCTCAACAACTTCAAAATACCGAAAAATTTGGCGGGAGCTATGCCTATACGTGGACCGATGTAGCCCATCATCGAACTTGACCTGCCTGCAGACAAAAGACGACTCTATGCAAAATTTTGGCGATCTATCTCAATTCGTTTAGACGCTAGAGTGATTACAACAGACAGGCGGGCATGCTTAAATCGTCATAGTATTTTAATCTGATCAATAATATATATACTTTAGGGTCGGTTTTGGGTCGGAAATGATTATTTCGATGCGTTGCAAACGGAAAAACAAAACTAATATACCCTCTATAATATGGTGGAGGGTATATGGCTGACTATGAAGTCCCAAAAATATTAAAACAAATTATGGCTGCCTAAGAAGCCCCACGTTTGCATAAGAAGATCATAATATATTTTTAAAAATCCACGCCTGTTGAGAGACATTCTAAAAATATTTTTTATTTCTTTTAAGAAGTCCCAAAAATATTTAAAAAAAAAAATCCACGGTTGCCTATGAACCTCAAAAAATATTTTTAAAACAATCCACACCTTCCTAAGAAGCTCTGAAAATATTTAAAAAAACCCCCGCCTGTATGAGAGCCCCCAAAAATTGTTTTGAAAAATCCGCGACTGCCTATGGGCCTTCAAAAAATATTTTTAAACCTCCACTCTCTCTAAAAGGCTTTGGAAGATCCCTTATAGAAAAAGGGTCTTCTAAGGCACCGTTCAATCTTCTTCTAGAAGTTATCTCTGTTGGAGATAGGTCTGTTGGAAATATTAGTTATGTGTGTGCATATTTACATATTTGTGTAAACTTTTTTCAATTAACCCATATGGCCAGGCCATTATGGAACAAAAATTGTATTTGTTTAACAGAGAAAATAACACCATCTTTGTTTAATAAGTGACGGGACGGTATGGGACGTTCGACACGATTACACATGTTCTGTTCTGGTGTCCGCCCTATTTAACAACACAGAATAAACAAAGAAGTTTTAGCACTAAATAGCTCGATTGTTACCCCCCATCCTCCTCCTTCTCGCTTCCTCACACCATTGTGTATACACATTACCTCTGGATATACATATCTATCTCAACATTTGTTGGATTTCAGAAGTGTGTCTCTGGGTGTAATGGTGGATTGTTGTAATGGATATTTTGGATATTCGGGTTTACTTACTCATTCAATTCTGGGAATATCATGTAGACATAAAACATTGCAGCCAATGACGTTACAAAAATTCCAGCCAATATGAAAAGGGATTTTTTGGTTGCGGAACGTTCAGCGGCCGACATTGGCTTTTTGGGGCTTGCAGTTGAGGGAGCCGTTGTTGTACTGCTGCTGCTCGAGGTGGTGGTTGCATTTGTAATTTTTTCATTATTGTGGCCATCCTGCTGCTGCTGGTCATTTTGAGGCAGCAGTTCCTTGGTTGGGGGAGCTACTGCCAGTCGAGTTGTGGCCGAAGGTGTCATTGATGAAGATTTTTCTTGAGATTTGTAGTTGCAGTTGAGGGGGAGTTCTTTTTCTGACACTTCTGTGTGACAAAACAATGTCATCACATCACAAAGAGACACCTCGTTAGATTACAATCAGCGAGCGAGCGCAAGAGAGAGTGTTCACAAATGAAAGAGAGAGTGAAAATAGGGAAATGTTGATTGTTATTGTTGTTGTAAAATGAATTTAATTTATTTAGAAATTTACCTATTCCTCCAGATTCAGCCAATAATGGGGTATTCTCAAAGTCCATTGTTTACTTGACGGGGGCTAGAACAAATTTTGTATGGTGCTGTTTGTTTGTTGTTGTTTTAACAATCAACAAAATTAACTTTGCACACTGGAACACACACACACACCGACAAACACAGTATACACAAACGAAGTTTGCTATTATCTTTTGTTTTTTTTTCTTCTTCTTTATTTTTTTTATAAAAACAATAATTCTAACTTCCGTGTACAAAGATTCTTGATTTTTCACGCACACACAGCAACAACAACAAATAGAGATTGTTGGGATTTTTAATAGAAAAAATGTATAAAAAAGACTTGTAATCAATAACACTTTTGCTCAGTAGTTGTAATTTCATTTATTTTGTTGTTATTGTTTGATTTTTCCGTTTTATTGCTTTTTTTTGCTTCGCTTTGTTCTCGCGTGATTTCTTTCAAGTTTGAATAGAAAAAAAACACCAACAATCAACCCCAAATCCGTAACGTGGGGAAGGCTATAATTTTTTTCTTTTACAAAAACAATTTATTATTTATTTACTTTCCACTATTTCATTTAAAAAAATAAATATATTTTTTATGTTGCGAAATAATTTTGTTGTTTTTGTTTACGGCCGTGCAAAATTATTACCCAAAACAAAAAACACCGCGACAACTTACAAAGAGCAAGCTAACGACGAGAGACTGACAGAAACTGAATGAAACGTCATTATGATCTGAGTGAGGCCTGAGAAACACTAAATTAAAAACGTTCCACATTGGGAGAAACCACAAATGAAAAACGTTCCGACGAAGGGCAAGCTAACGACGATAGACTTTGACAGAAACTGAATGAAACGTCATTATGATTTGAGTGATGCCTGAGGAGGACAAAATTAAAAACGTTCCACAGGGGAGAAAAAAATTAAAAACGTTCCAACGACTGTTAAATCGGGGAGGAGAAGAAAAAAAGGGATACCGCAAGTCAGCGATAATGACTAATACCATGGCCTATAAATAAGGTCACCAAGGGAGACCAGCTGATTATCGATACCTCTCAAGTTTGCTGTCAAAATGCATTATTGTGAATTGACTTCCATTATGAAAACGTAAACAAAGTCGACTTTTTTGACATTAGACTTGAGAAAAAACAGATGTTTTCCGATTTCGATTGCTATCTTGGTGACCTTATTTATAGGCCATGACTAATACCATGTTCTCACGATCGATTTAAAAAAAAAAACATATTTTTGAAAAATACAAAAAAACTTCAAAACATTTTTTTAAATCATTGTGTGCCTATAAGCCTCTAGAATTTATTGTAAAAATCCCAAGCTGCCTATAAGCCTCTAGAAATATTAAAAAAATCCCAAGCTGCCTGTAAGCCTCTAGAATTATTTTAAAAAAATCCCAAGCTGCCTGTCTAAGAAGCTATGAAAATGTCTGAAAATATTTTAAAAAAATCCAGGCCTGCATAGCAAGCTCTGAAAATGTCTGAAAATATTTTAAAAAAATCCAGGCCTGCATAGCAAGCTCTGAAAATGTCTGAAAATATTTTTAAAAAATCCAGGCCTGCCTAAGAAGCTCTGAAAATGTTTGAAAATAATTTTAAAAAAATCCAGGCCTGCCTAAGAAGCTCTGAAAATGTTTGAAAATATTTTTAAAAAATCCAGGTCTGTCTAAGAAGCTCTGAAAATGTCTGAAAATGTTTTTAAAAAATCCAGGTCTGTCTAAGAAGCTCTGAAAATGTTTGAAAATATTTTTTAAAAATCCACGCCTGCCTAAGAAGCTCTGAAAATGTTTGAAAATATTTTTTAAAAATCCACGCCTGTTGTAAGAGACCCTCTAAAAATGTTTGAAAATATTTTTTAAAAATCCACGCCTGTTGTGAGAGACCCTCTAAAAATGTTTGAAAATATTTTTAAAAAATCCACGCCTGTTGTGAGAGACCCTCTAAAAATGTTTGAAAATATTTTTTAAAAATCCACGCCTGTTGTGAGAGACCCTCTAAAAATGTTTGAAAATATTTTTAAAAAATCCACGCCTGTTGTGAGAGACCCTCTAAAAATATTTTTAAAAAATCCCCGCCCTATAAAAATATTTTTAAAAAATCCACGCCTGTTGTGAGAGACCTCTAAAAATAGTTTTAAAAAATCCACGTCTGTTGTGACAGACCCTCTAAAAATATTTTTAAAAAATCCAAAAATTAAATTAAACATTTTTTCTTTTTGAAAATTATTTTTTTTAACAATTACATTTTTTTCGCATTTATTTTATTATCCGTCTAAGATTAATTTAAAATTTATATATACGTATATATACCTAAAATGTATGTAATGTGTATATATATAAAACTTAGCAATTTTTATAAGATTTCGTTTTGTTTTTTTTTTAACATATTTTATTTTTATTTTCCAATTTGTAATCGAATATAAATATATTTTTTTAATTCACGCGTTTTTGTATATATATAAAAAACCGGCAATAAAAACAAATTGATTTTTTTAATATATAATATTTTAATATTATTATTCAACCACATAAATAATATTTGTTTTTGTGTTTTCCAAAAAAATGTTGTTGTTCTTGTGTTTTTTTGTTATAGTACCAAATTACAATGAATATGAATAGAAGGAAAAGGGGGAGTTTTAAGAAAAAATTAAATTATAAAGCAAAAGGGAGGAAATGTTTATAGAATAACTGTGGGAGATATACATATATTTTCTAACAATTTATATATACAGAATATATATGTATATATAAAATATATATAAAGAAAGCTCGTAGTACAAACTTAAAATTATTTAATTTTTTATGATAAAGAAATTCAGAAAATTGCTTTGGAAAAAAGTGAAAAAAACTATTTTTTCTAAATTGCTGATTATTAAAGAAAATTTAAGTAAGAAACTGGAGCAGCAGAGATGGATGACAAAAACATTTTATAATCTAAAAAATATATATATGTATGTATATAAAAAAGGAAAATAAAACTTAAAACTGCATTCACACATTCTCTTTTTTGTAGTTAATCAACTCAACACAACTCTAGCAATGTCGTTCGTTCGCTCTCTCACAAAGAAATTTAATTCACACCTTTAGCTCTAGCCGAATATTCTCACCATGCCATTTCAAAAAAAAATGTTTTTGCTTAGCCAAAATTAACTCAAATACGACAAAAACACACACACATTCATTTCTATTAAATACATCTAATTATGAACTCTTTCGCTCGTTCTCGATCGCTCTATCTCTCGTTCGTTCGCTCACATTTTCACCTCACCCCTCAATGTCTATTCCATTCTCTCCGATATCACAATATTAACTTGAGGACATTGGGCGGGATTTTGTTCGCTAACGGCTAATTGAGCTAAACGTTGATTTAATTCCTCGTGCGAATTGAAAACGCCCGGTGCCACCAGACACAGGCTATCACCAAAATATTCACCATACGGAGTGCAGAGACGCCACACAATCGGCTCATGGCTACAAATGTCGGCCACAACATCACATGTATCACCCGGCCGTAACGATGGTACCTCTAGACGTCGAACTTGACTATTGGACATTAAGTAACAGCCATTGGGCCAGGTTTCCGAACCAATATTTTGTAGACGCCATGCCATTTGTTGACCATTCGGTTGTTGTTGTACCAGTTTCATGGAGGGCAGAGTTTGACCATTGCAAAAATCCAAATAGCAACCGACAGCCGTTTGAAGATTCCTGTGGGAGGAGAGAAGGAGAGGCGATGATTAGAGAATATATTTTTGTTGAATATAATGGAGAGAGAAAGAGAAAGCACAGATATGGGAAAGGACAGCCTGGGTTCTTTAACAATATCTACCCCGTGGTCCTTGAAACAATTCTTAAAAAAATCTACGCCTTGATTCTTAAAAAAAAAAATTTAAATAATCTACGCCTTGGTCCTTTAAAAAATTCCTAAATCTACACCTTGGTCCTTAAAAAAATCTATGCCTTGGTCCTTTAAAAAATTCCTAAATCTACACCTTGGTCCTTAAAAAAATCTATGCCTTGGTCATTAAAAAAATCTACGCTTTGGTCTTTTAAAAAATCTGCGCTTTCGTCCTTTAAAAAAATCTACGTTTTGGTCCTTGGTCCTTTAAAAAAATCTACGTATTGGTCCTTTAAAAAATCTACGTATTGGTCCTTGGTCCTTTAAAAAAAATCTACGCTTTGGTCTTTTAAAAAATCTGCGCTTTCGTCCTTTAAATAAATCTACGCTTTGGTCCTTTAAAAAAATCTTCGCCTTGGTCCTTAAACAAAATGCTAAAATCTATACCTTGGTCCTTTAACAAATTCTTAAATCTACATTTTGGTCGTTTAAAAATTCTACGCCTTGGTCCTTAAAAAAAATCTACTCCTTGGTCCTTTAAAAAAATCTACGCCTTGGTCTTTAAAAAATCTACGCCTTGGTCCTGGTTCTTTAAAAAATCTACGTATTGGTCCTTTAAAAAATCTACGTATTGGTCCTTGGCCCTTTAAAAAAATCTACGCCTTGGTCCTTTAAAAAAATCTTCGCCTTGGTTCTTTAAAAAAAAATCTACGCCTTGGTCCTTTAAAAAAAATCTACGCTTTGGTCTTTTAAAAAATCTGCGCTTTCGTCCTTTAAAAAAATCTACGCTTTGGCCCTTTAAAAAATCTTCGCCTTGGTCCTTTAAAAAAATGCTAAAATCTATACCTTGGTCCTTTAACAAATTCTTAAATCTACATTTTGGCCGTTTAAAAAATCTACGTCTTGGTCTTTTAAAAATCTACGTCTTGGTCCCTTAAAAAAAATATCTACGCCTTGTTCCTTTAAAAAAAAATCTACGCCTTGGTCCGCCTTCTGTGGCGTATTGGTCCTTGGCCATTTAAAAAAATCTACGCCTTGGTCCTTTAAAAAAATCTTCGCCTTGGTTCTTTAAAAAAAAATCTACGCCTTGGTCCTTTAAAAAAAATCTACGCTTTGGTCTTTTAAAAAATCTGCGCTTTCGTCCTTTAAAAAAATCTACGCTTTGGCCCTTTAAAAAATCTTCGCCTTGGTCCTTTAAAAAAATGCTAAAATCTATACCTTGGTCCTTTAACAAATTCTTAAATCTACATTTTGGCCGTTTAAAAAATCTACGTCTTGGTCTTTTAAAAATCTACGTCTTGGTCCCTTAAAAAAAATATCTACGCCTTGTTCCTTTAAAAAAAATCTACGTCTTGGTCCTTTAAAAAAATCTACGCTTTGGTCTTTTAAAAAATCTGCGCTTTCGTCCTTTAAAAAATCTACGCTTTGCTAAAAATGCTAAAATCTATACCTTGGTCCTTTAACAAATTCTTAAATCTACATTTTGGTCGTTTAAAAAA